GCAATTGTTGACCTGTCTTAAAGCGGCAACGGCAACAGCAATAGGGACAGCGACAGCAATTAAGGTAACAGTTTTCTTATTTATCATGCAAATAGCAAACAATTTCCGTTCGTTGTCCTGTCAGCCAACTAATTGAGATGGCGAAAAAGCAAAGCGGAAATGCTTGAACTACTTCGTCTTCTTCTGCTGCCCAACTCTTTTTCCTAGGTAAGAAAACCCGAAAAATGTATATATAGATATATATATATAGCTATATCTATGAAAGACAACATTTGCCAGCCGCAGCGTAGTAAAGAAGCCATCAAAAATGTAAATATGTAATAGCCCAAGACTTGGGCAAGAGGCTCCATGGCACAAGCCCCAAGCCCAAGTTAACTTTAGCAGACAGCTCGACGTTGTCGTCGTCGTTGTCGTTGTAGACGTCGTCTTCGCCGTGCCTTGCTTAGAAAGCAGCTACTGTATGCCATGCGGGGGGCACTGACGTTGAAGTAGAGCGTCAATGAATTAAATATAACCTGACCCGGGCCCCCAGTCCAACAGCCCACACCCAACATAAACCTTCTGCCCGTAGCTCGAAACGAAAACCCATTCTAAAATGTACACGCTGTGAGCTTTCCACTTGATTGCTGGCTTTTCCTTGCGTCTTTTTTTTCGTTGCTCCCGCCGAACTCTCGACGTTTGTGTCCTTGCCGAATGGAAGTTCGATTTACATTTCAACTGCAGCCAGCAAAAGGCGTTACATGGCGTGACGTAAGCGCCCGAATAGACAAAATGTGTACCTATACCAACAGATATACCTGTATACCCATGTGTATATATAGACGCCCACATATGCTGTGTACTCAGTTAATACTCATATGGAGCTCGGCAAACACAACGTTTAGTTCAGGTCTGAACTCCAAAACTCTTTTGTTTGCTTAATAACGCCTTCGGGCGGGTTTTATATTTAGTCGAAATCTTTTACTCATGTATAAGAGAGAAAGTAAGTAAGCTGCAGGGAGAATTCAATGAACTTAAAAGCTTATTGGATATGCGAAAAATTGGCAGATTTATAGGAGAAAGCTTACTCTGGAACGGTTAGTTCCAATATGAAAAGTTATTTATTTATGAAGAAGTGTTAACAAACCTGTTATATCATATGAGTTTCGTTTCTGTTTGCTGAAACAGCTCTAAAAGGCCTTTTCACAGCAAATGTTAAATATTTGGAAAGATTTAAGAAACCTCATTTCTTCATAAAAAGTTACACAAATTTGATATCAAGTACACAAAAGAAAGTCTTTGCTGTAACAACTCTAATTTAAAAGGAGTTTTCGACTTCTGGAATATCCCAGCAAATCTTGTATATTTAGTAAGTTGTATGAAACTTCATTTGCATACAAAGTTCAATAATCAAATACACGAAATAGTGACGTTGTTGAAGCACCTTTTACTTTAAAGGAGTTTTCCACTTCTGGAACATGCCAGATAATAAATTTAGAGTGTAGGCAACTAGCTGGTAATGATATATAACACGTAATATTTACAAAATGAAATCATTTTAGTCTGGCTGTTTATTTGTTAATTGAACCGACAACAGAAACATTTTGGCATATGCCACATGCCACATCCATAACAGTCTTGTATAATCCGCTTCCACAACGATCCTCGACTGCTGTCAAACTGTTTCAACTGTCCCAGAGTCAACGTCTGGCTGGCTGCCTGTCTGTCTGTGTGTTGTGCTATTCAATTCCATTGAAATGGCTGTGCTGCATATTAAAAGAGCCGCATAAATAAATAAGCATATTCAATTTTGATGAAACGTGAATGGTATCGAAATGTTTAACTAAGCCAAGAACGTGACCTTGCTGCAGTTAGTCGTATGCCAAGCATAAAAGTCTATATCGAAGGGGTAGCTAAGCAATAAACAGGCATTACGATGCAACCCCAAAAAAAGAAAACTAATTACAAACGCATAAAACTTATTAACGTTAATAAAATGTGCTAAATTAACGTGGGCTTTTTTGGTATTGTCTGAAGTCACGAGAGTTGCGGCAGGTTTATAATCTATAGACTTTATGAGTAGGCATAAAATGTGAAATTAAGGTATGTAGTGGATGGGTTCTTAAATAGAAATATAATTAGGATGTATTTAGAGATTCAGCGGGTCTCGAATGCGGAACAAATGGTGCGTGTAGCCAACCAGAGACTGAAAATGTGGATATTTGGTAAGGCTACTCCTGAATATTGTGTCTGAAGAAAAACTGAATAAAGAAGTAAAGTAAATTTCGAATTATATGTGACAATAATAATTATAACAATAAAAATTATATTCTACTTAAAAATACTATTAGGAGAAATTTAACAGGGGTATTCCATAATATTAAAAAAATTTGTGTTTTATAAACAACTTGAACATTTTTTTATTAGTATTTTAACAATTACAGAAATACTATGAAAATATCTAGAACTGTTAATATAGGAAATATGAATTTAATGAGGGTATTGCTTACTAATTTGCTTACATAAAATAGTGTATTAGTAAATATTTTATACACTCTTTTTCAAATTTCCCTATGCATATATAAAGTATCAAAATTGAATAGGGTTATCCCTCAAAAACTGTTATATATTTGCGTCGTATTTTCAGTAAAAACCAAACTATAGAATTTAAAGTAAACAATATATATTTGGTCTATGAAACGCCATAAATATAAATCCCTCTCTGCACCTTTTTACAGGGTATCCTAGGATCAGCTTCCGCAGTTTAGTATAATTTTGTATATTTGTTATTTTTGTTGGCCTTGCCACAGCATAGAGCAGTTTTTGCGGCTAGCTGTGGCAACTGCCTGGCGTTAAGCGCTTAGCTAAAAGCTGCAATGCAGCTTAAGACGAACATTTTCGACGCTGCTCAGCATAAGGATTTGTGATTTAAATACGCTACAACAGTATGTTGAATAATTCACTTAATTGGCCCCCAAAGGTCGAAAGCCACCGAAAAATAAGCAAAGTTAAAGTAAATACAGAAACCGCAAGCAAAAGAGAAAGAGAGCGAGAGAGAGAGAGAGAGACATGTGTTTGTCAAAATGACAAACACGAGCTGGAATTCTGTCATTAGGAATGGAAATTCTATAGCGCTGTAGAGGTCAAGTAGAGATGTGGTCGAAGTTTGCAATGCCATTGAAATGCAGCCAAATGAATAACTGTTACATATATATTAAATTTTATATATATAAAGATATATATATATATATATATATAGAGAGCTGACTGCACATTGCTGATTGCAGCACACAATCTGTGGCAATTGGAAATTGATCTTTGGCCAACGCAATTGTTGCTGCAAATATAATTACGCTCAAATGATGTTCGCATGTAAATTGCCAGCTCATGAATAGCTTATTGGTAGGACCTTTAAATACATATACATACATATATAATTGACTGCCTGTACTTTAATGAAAAGCGACAGCTGCAGGCTTTTTGCCTTAATTAAATTTCAATCGAATGCAGCTTTCAAGTCTCGGCTTTGATTTGCCCCTTTTTTCTGGTTGGCTTCTGGCTGGGGATTTCCCTTTTTTCTTCTTGTTGACCCGCGGGCAACAATGCCAACAAAAGCTTGACTTCAGTGGCTGCCGCATTCCCTTGCCCTTACCAGCTCCCTCCCTGCCTCTCTCTCTCTCTTACTCTCTTCTACTCTGCGGTCTCTCGCTCTGTAAAAGTTTTGGGCGCCATTTTCAGTTCTCCTTTTTAACACGCATTCGCGTGTTTTATGCTTTTGTTTTTGTGTTAGATTATTTCTTTTGGCATGCTTTTGAAACTTTATACCCAACTCGCGTATACGCGGGGCCAGCACACGAGTCGGGTTGCCGCTCGCCTTTAACCTTGAACCTGGCACATGGCTGCACATTCACTTGGCCGAGTGCGTACTTAGATATTTTTCTATTTTCACTTCATTAAACGAGATTTTCAGCACATTATTATTTACGCCAGCTCCCGTTGCCCGTCGCCGTTGCAGGTTTTCTTGCTGATGCTACATCACTTTTAAGGATTTACTTACTCTTTCGCGACCTTGGCTTACGATTTAAACAGTTGTGCAGTTGAAAAGCTCTTGGAAAAGCAGCCAGCCTAGAAGTAGTATTTGGCTTGCCGAATGCTAGATATCCTTAAAGTTCTTAAATGACTTTAGAGTGAATGCATATTAGGTAGACTGTTAGTTGAGGTAGAGCTGGCTAAAACATATTCATTGTTCTTGACGTAGAGTCAAAGCTGTGTAGAAAATTAAATGCAGATTTTACTTTTCATTGGCATATGGAAAATCTCATATAATTAACCCGCTGAATATCGAACTTTGCTTTCCTCAATAGAATTGCCTATTGAACCAACATTTGTTTCTTTTTGGCTTTTTTGGGGCAACTCGGAGGAATATTCGATTTTCATTATAAAATAAACTGAAACTGTAAAGCTTAAACTAAAATCCAATTCAGACTTGTTTGCCTTAAGAAACTGTATCTGATAGACAATTTCAATTACAAGTCTTCCCACCTCACTAGGTTTATCACATAAGAGTGATGCCCTACCACAGCTAGTGCATAATGAGAGCCTACTTCAAGCATCTTTATATAAGTATTGCACATAGTTATTTAGTTGGGGTGGCACGTACGACAGCTGCAGCAACAACTGACACACAGACAGACAGACAGACGGGCAGGCAGGCAGCTAGGCCATACAGCTTGGATCCAAGTAGACGACAGCAAAGTGAGAGATTCATCACAATTTAACTTTGAGTAGTGGCAATGTGGCAGAAAGAGTGAACGAGTCACGTTGTGGCATGTGCCGCAATTAGTTGACTGCAAATTGCGCAGCTGTCGGCAACTAATTGTTGCTCAAATTGAAGTCTATCAATTGTTGGCTATTCTGCAAGTCAATTGAACTGTCAGCCGACGCCTACTAAGTGTTTCTACACGCAGCAAATAAGGCAGACATTTCCAAATGCGAGACTGACTTTTATTCAGTCTAACGACAAGCCTTGGACATGAATGGGAAAAATCTGAAAAATTTTGCCAGACCCAATAGGTCAATTAAGCGCGTTAGTAAAAAGAAGAAGGAAAAGTCGCAGCGCGTGGTTTATGTGACCTGGAAAAGGGGTAAGCACAAAATGGGCTCACTAATTAAAGGTAACAGAAAGTATTTTGCACTAATTAAAAGCTCGCATTTTGATATTTGATGTGGCCTACGCAGGTCGTTATTTCGTTGAAGCCAAATTAGACAATGAGGCTGCCTGGCTCGGCTGGGATCTGCGCAAGAAACGAGCTTGTACTTTGAAGGCAAAAAATGCGTGTGAGTACTCAAATTGCGATATGAATTGTATCGATGAGCACAGTATCGATGTTTTATGTAAAGGTCGAATTTATAATCGGATTAAGGGTGAAAAGCAAAAACGAATTTCTAACGAAGAAGGCGAAATAAGACCTGTCAATCATAAGCATTTGACTAAGCTGCAGATGAAAGGAGTTATGATTCAGGATTCTCTCAATAGCGACAATGATAGAGGTTCCATCAGCGCACTTAGCAGTGCCCTTGAAGCTGAGCAAATTGTTCGGAAAGAGGAGACTTGGGATGTCACTAAAGGTGGACTCAAAATTTTACCAATGTCACGAAGTGGTTCAAACAAACGCAAAGCAAAGCCTACTTCTGCGAGTTGTGTTGAGAATACTCCAGCTGGCAATGAGAGTTGGGATATAACTCAAGGCGGACTAAATATTTTGCCAATGCAAAGAGCTGTTGTACCGAAAACTAAGAAAAGGTCCAAGTCGCGTCAGAATATAAGAAAAAGCGAAACTGGAAAATCGCCAAAGATTCCAAATACTGAAAGTTGGGGTGAGATTTTGCCAATTCCGCACGGCGTCTGCTCCCAAGCCAAGATGAAGGAAATCACAAATTGGATATTCGCGGAGAACGAATATGGCAGTGAAAGGGCATGTGGCACAGCCATAGAAATTCCTTTCGATACTCAAGAGACTGACGATGAAGGTGAAAGTGAATGTGAAAGTGATGCTGTCGCTCAATGTGATTTCAGTTACACAAGAAGTGTGACGCCGTCGCGTAATCCAATGGGCACACCTCGTTGGAACATCAGCGAAAGCATAAGCCATGATATCACAAATCAAATTTGTCGCTCGCCCTTGGTAAGTGATGCGCCCAGTTGGTATATAACCAGGCGGGGCAAAAGAAGTGCCACAGTCAAGATTGGGGATCTACTCAATGGTAAGCTTGCAGAAAGAATTGGCAAATCAGATATAGCTACTAACTATATCTCGTTGGCAGAACGTTACTATATTTTGACCAACATAACGATCAGTTATCTGGCCTCCGTTTGGCTGTGCTGGGACTTGGAGGATAAGTGCAATGTAGTTATGAAAATGTCGGATACGACACAAATGAGCGTGCTGCTGATTCAAGGCGAGATAAGTACGATTAGCGCCATGCATGCATATCAGCCCACGGATCCGCGACTTGACTGCATAGTGAAAGTGTTGGATGCCTTTCAATTGACGCGCTCCAGGACCGCACAGCCTTGCATTATACTCGAAGCTCTGGAGTCGAACCTAGCGAAGTATGCAAGCAATTGGCATAATTGCATTCTGCCCTTGGACATAGTCAAGTATATAACACGTCGGGTACTTGAGGGCCTGGACTACATTCACAGTGTCGGAGTTGTGCATGCCGATATCAAGCCAGAGAATGTTTTGATTACGCCTTGCACTCCGGATAACTGCGAGAATTGTCCGGATAAACAATTGGCATGCTCCAGATTGCATGTGAAGATAGCGGACTTTGCCAATTCCTGTGGGTCGAGCGGCAAACTGGCTGGAGAGATCCAAACACGTGCGTATCGCTGTTTGGAATCAATACTTGGCTCTGATTGCGAGAGGCCGGCGGATATTTGGAGTGTAGCCTGCATGGTCTTTGAGCTGGCCGTTGGCGATTTACTCTTTGGGGAATGCGACGACGACAGATACACGCCCGAGGAGGATCATTTGGCGCGCATTATCGAACTGCTCGGACCGATACCGCATCAGATAATCTTTCGTGGTCGCGACGCGCTGCGCGATTTTAATCCCTATGGCAAATTGCGTAACATAACTGACCTGAGACCCAGGGGTCTAGTCGATGTGTTAATGGATTATAATTGGTCGCAGCTAAACGCCATGGCCTTCGCCTCATTCCTGACGCCCATGCTCGACTATGAGCCCAAGAAACGTGCCACTGCGGCCAAGTGTCTGCAGCATCCTTGGCTACAGTGAAAATGAAAAACGAGGCGCCATAAACTAGAAAAGCTAAATAGCAAAAATATTGTTAATGACAGTTAAATGAAATTATAGCCATTGCGTGGCTTACGGCTTTTGGCTTTTGTTAGTTTTCGCTTCTGTCTCATAATTTAATGAGCATATATAATAAAGCTTGGCCTGGTATGAGTAATGTTTGTCCTTTATCTCTGGCTAATCGAAAACTCAGTGCCGCTGGCTCTAAAACTAAACCACAAACACGACGCACGCAAAGCACAACCGATTCGTGGGCGTTTGTCGTGTGTATTAGAGATGAGCGCGTGAGTGGCCAGTGCTCATAACGTGCTTGACTTGGGAAGGCGTTGATGTAAAAGGTTGTAAATGTAAAATAGTTGTAGAGAATCTATGTTATGTAGGATAGGTGCTGCAAGGATGGAGAGATGTTGATGGGTAGTTAAGATGTAGAACTGATGTATCAAAGGTGGAGATGTTCAAGAGATGTAGGTCGAGAGTAGATAATGATGTAAGTTAGATGTAGCTGTTGTGTAGATGAAGAATAGAATCGATGTGAGGTAGATGGAGAATTACAGTTTGGGTAAACAAAGTCGTCTACATTAGGTATTTGAATGGTAGATGCAGGACAGATCTTCATGTTGAAAAGATGTGCATGTTAGTTAGATGAAGGATAGAGCTGGATGCAATGTTAGATGTAATGGGCTAGATGAAGAACAGATCTCGATGCAGATGTGCTGCTGGGTAGATAAGGGACAAATCTCGATCTCGATCATGATGGGGAAGCTGCATACGTTAAGTAGGGCAGATACCAATGCAAAGATGTAAATGAAGACTGAGCTGATTAAGATGTAATTGTGGGGCAGATAAAGATGTCCTGATAGAGAGGTATATGATAGGTAGACGTAGGCTTATTTTATGTTACGTTCAGTTTGCTTAGTTATAGTTAAGTTAATCTGTGGCTTAGTTAGGTTAGATCAGGTCTGTGTGGCTGTTGGATTAATTACTAGAGTTGTCAATGAAATTCATTCAGAATTGATAGATGTATTATATTCTTAAACATTAAGTTCCTTGTGAGCTTAACCGTGAATGTAATTTGTATGCTGGAATATAAATTTGAGTTCTATTTTCAGTTTATTTGAATTCCTTTGGATGCACTTTTCTCTTGTTTTGCTACAAAAGAAAATTGTTTGCTTTTGTTTCACAGCAATCAAAACTTTTGATGCCTCTCAAGCTTATTCATGTTTCTTTGTCTTTCGTTTGTTTTGTTTTTGCCTTCATTTTTATTGAAAACTTGCAGTTGCTGCTGTTATCATGGCTGCTCAACTTGCTTCTTTGTAGATATTTTCTTTATACAGCTGCAGCTATTTATCCTATAAGAGAGCTGTCAAGCTTTACCTGTTTCTACAATGCCAAACACTTTTCTGCTTAATTTAATTAATTTCTAAATCAAGCTGCATATACATTGATGCTATTTTCGAAATTTAAATACAATTTCTATAGAGCGCTGCTCACGTACCCAACTCAAAGGCTGAAAGGCAACACATTTGTCAAACAACAAACAAAGCATACAGAGGGATATCTGTGTGTGAGTGTGTGTGTGTGTGTTTGTGTGCGTGTAGTATTGTTAGTGTTGACAGTTAAATGGAGCCAATGGCATAAAGTTAGCCGCATGACATTAGCATGCAAATTGTTAAATTGAAATTGCCATTCACATTAGCCGTCTCTTGATTTTGCTGTTGCGTTTCCTGTTTGCCTTGCTGTGCCGAAAATCAATAAAATGTGACAAATCTATATACCTCTATATAGACAGATATATATCTTTGTGTAATTTTAACACGTCATTAGTCTTGATTTTAATGCAGCTCTTTACGTTTTTATCATGGCCCCGTAACTAGGCACAACAAATCGATGATTTGCTGGCCAAAAATAAAACAAAAAAAAATAAGTAGAAATTTTACCAATTGCCTTAATTCCATTAATAATGAATGATTGATGAACTGACTAACTGACTACCTGACAAACTGACTTGTGTAGCTGACACATGGACTGAGCCGATGATGGTGATTTAATTGAGGTTTTAATAGCTCATCAGCAAATTTGCTTGAAAAGAAAAGAAAAAAAAAGAAGAGAAAAATGTTGCACTGACTGCCTAATGCTCGTTCAAAGTTTAGCTTATTTAACATGTGTCTGTAGAGGTGACCAGCTGACGTTAGCTATGAGACTCTGGAAAATTGATTTTTTATGATTTGCCACTCCCACTCTTAATACGATCTGTAAAGAAGCTTAAAGGCAAGTTAATGTCGTTTGGAACTCTAGCTGCATAACTACTAAATATACAATTTATACTCAGAATCAATTAAGAATGGTAATTCAATTAAATTTAGAAAGTCCAACTAGAACAAAACTCATCCAACAATGCCATTCGCCTAAAAAGATCCATAAGCGCAGCCCAAGCACAGCTCAAGCGTGCTTATGTGTGCTTCTGTATGTGTATGTGCATGTGTTGATACCTGTGTATGCGTAAAAGAAGCTTAGAATGATTGGAATAGCAACTCTTCTGGGTATCACCTAGTCAGGCACTCCCCACTCTAACACTCTTACTTGTTTTTACTTACTGTTAAAGATGCAGTAGTTGATTTGCCACACCCATAATAGATGTAGATATATATAATATATTCTTATATGATTCCTATACATTAATATATATTTTCCATCCCAAGTCAAAACAAACAGACAGTACATTGCTCAAAAACTAATAGACTTCTTTTCACTCCACTAACGCGTATAATGAGGGACACGTAGCATATTTTTCACGGCGCCTGGCAACCCTAATTGGTGGCTTAATTAAACATTTTGGCAAATCGCGTGCTTCACTTGGCTGAACAGGCTCCATTTGGCTGACTCTTTGAAGTGCAGTTTTTGGCCAATTAACGCGCTTTTGCAATTCATTTAGCAGTGCTTTCGGCCATAACTGGGCCAGCCCGACTGCCTCTTCGCAAGTGCCGATACGTGCTGTACTTTTCAACTACTTACATATTACTTTGCAAGCAATTAAAAGACAATTTATGTGGGCAAAAGTTAGTTGTGCCTTAACTTTTTTGTTAATGTTATTTTGCTTTTAAAGCGCAGCATCAGCTCGCAAAAGTTAAGCGACTGTGTGTGAGTGAGTTTGTCTGACATTTTACCTTGGCAACGAGCTGAAATTGCTTTCTGTAAGCCTCTGCAGCAATTGCAAGTTTTTTTTTTCCTTGAAAGTTACGACCACATTGAAATCAGAACTCTTCAATTATTGACTATCATGACTATGTGCTCTGCATTCGCAATGAGCCTGATGTATGAGGCTTGTCTGTCAAATAGGAATTGCGTCTGCAATTCAGATGCTGTCTTTTTGATACCCTAAACCGTAATAAAATGGGTTATAATGATTTTGTGAAAATGTATGTAACAGGCGGAACTTATCAAGTATGTATATTTTTGATTAGTACACTGAGCTGCGTCAATATAACTATGCTCATCTGTTTGTCTGTCCATCCATAAGCATCTGCTGCTTGCAGAGTTCAGGGCATCTCTCAGTCTGGCGCTCGTGATAAGACCTTTCCTACTTGTTTTTTCTGGTTTATTAGCAACAAGTGCGCAATGCGTAATGTCTGCTGGGATATGCTGCTGTGTGTAGCGCTTTTGAGTTGTCGTCCAAAGCATAGCAATTATTTAGCTTGCAGCTGTTGTGCCTTGATATAGGCTGAAAGGAAGCGAGTGATGTCTGGGCTTAAAAGGCACTTGCTTCTATCGTACTTTTGCAATTTGCTTTCATTTTAAGCCTTTTGTTTTTGTTGGCTTACGTGTGTGTTTTACTTACATTACGAAGTATAACAATTTTGGTAAAGTAGGTATTTGAAAAGCCTTATGCAATTTACTGGAAAAGACAGCAAAAAGTTAATTTGTTTTTGTTAGTTTTTTTAGAGAATTTATCAATTTGTTGGCATTTTAAAAATTCCTTTTATTATTTCAATATTTTAGCAAACTAATCTTACTCAGTATATGGAACTTTAAGTTAGTTTCTCTTCAGTGAATTCTGACAACATGCCAAGCAGTGACAGCACCTAGACAGTCCCCAGAGACAGAGAGAGCAAAAGGCATAAAAAAGTGGAAAAAGGCATAATAAAGTTCCACTTTTTTCTCTTAATTATGCGCTGTACTTACCCTCAAAGGGTATGCCAGATTTGTGTGGCTGTATGTAACAGAGAAAATGAATATTTATATTATGGAATATATTATGGAATTTTTAAGAGGTTCACAACCTTGCAGCCTTCTTTGTATTGACAACTCATTTAACAGCTGATATTTGAGCTGTTGAATTTTATACCAGAGCAACTTTTGCGATCTGCTGAGATATTGTTATCAAAAGTACATCTAAGTGCATCTAGGATACTATCCAACCCTTGGTGATCTAGTTAAATTTCTCATCATATACATCTGTATCAAAAAGAATGCAATGATCTGCTATGCTCTATATAAGCTAGGTAATCTAGTCATGATTATAGAGCATCTGTTCCGCTATCTGATATGAAACCTTTGCTTATCTAGCTACATTGATGCCATCTATTTGCATCAGGAAGGCTAGAATGAGCTTGGCTTGTTGCAGTGACTTCATCGATCTATCTTTATCAGCAAAGTACACCTAAAGGCTACAAGGATACTATTAAAGTTTAGGCAATATGTTCAACTATAGCACTCTTTCCATTTTTCTATTGATCTATGATCATGTAATATTTGAATTAAGTATTCATATCTGGCTCAACTGTTAATATTTTTCTTATCTTATAGATACAGTTTTATATTTGAAATTTTAATTTTATGCTTAAGCCTAATTCGAAAATGATTGCAGCTGACAGCAATAAGTCTTGGTATGAGTATTAGCTTTAAGTACATAAGAAGTTATAATAAAAATCAAATATAAGACTTTTCTGTAAACTCGATAGATCTTAAAGCTAATACTAACAAACGAGGCTGCTCTATAGCCCACTCAAATAACGTATACATATTCCTTCAGAGATCCCTTATCCAGGTGGACATTCGGTTTCCTACGTTCAGGGCATCTCCTAGTCAGAACAACGTATTTCATTATTTTGTTTTTATTTTTTGCTGATATTCTTGTTGTTGTGCGCTGACCA